CTCATCAGCAAATACTATGTGTTTATCAGCATAATCGGTGTGACCGTCAGCAAAGCTGGTGTGTGCGTCAGCAAAACCGGTGTGTTCGTCAGCAAAACTGGTGTGGCAAAATATTCTCCTCTTGCAATTGTCGCCATTGCCTACTGTAGCCATGACAACATTAAGACAAATCGATCAAACTGCATTAATAAACGCATGTTGACACTACACCTTTTCCCGGCCAAAATGGTTACACTGGCAGTCAATGTGGTTCATTGAGCCGAACTTGCTTGGACTGTTGTGGCAATTTGGAAATTTAGTGCAATCAAAGTGGTGTTATGTGCAATCAAAGTGGCGCAAATTTAATAAACATCACATAAATGCATTATATTATTTCAGTTACATTCCGAACTGCATGTCCTCCATTCGGTTTGCAGGCAGCCTCGACGAAACGGAGTGAGTGCCAGCAATATGTTGGAGAATATTGTCCGCTAAAAGCCTTTCGCTTTGCCTTGTTGACTTCGTTGTTGCACGCAGCCGGCTCGTTGCGCGTATTCTTGATCGTGTAAAGCATGCCGTCGAGCTTTCTCGCAATCGTTGACGTTGACACGGCGACATTGAACTCAATCAAAATGAGAGATTGAAGTTCAGTTAGAGTCAGTGTAGAACATTGGTTGAGATGCACCTCTAATGCCTGCAATATCGCCGTTGTCACAACAGTCCGCCTTCTTCGTTGGCTGGCATTCACAGTTCCAAAGTGCCTACATTTCTTTTAGCTTGGGCATCGAAAGTATTTAGGTAGTCCCTCCTTGGCATTTGGTTTGGTGGTGGTGAACTGTGTACAGTCGCCAAGATGGACCTCCTTCTGTCCCACAAATAATGCGCGAGTTGAAGAGGGTGTACATGGCTGACACCTAAATTTTATAGATAAATTCAGGCTGTGCGTATGCTTCCTCAATTCGGGAATCGACACCTCTGATTGGATCATTGCACAGAGCGCGCTAAGAGCTTCCTGTGACAGTAAGTATGAGCACGAATCTCAAAGACGCGAGTCAATTTTGGCGAGTTAAAGGCAGCAGACAAACTTACATAAGAAATGACACACATTCAAAATGTCATCAACACTTCCAGACCTGTCGAACGAGGAGCGCGAAGCCATCCTTCGGGATGTCCTGCTCCAAAGCAACAACAGTTTTCCCACCCGGCTGCCTAAAGGCACAAGTCAGTCTCTGGTTGCAAAATACCAGTGCCACGTGCCTACAGTACAATACGCCGAATCATTGCTTTGGCCAAGGCCCAAGGCGTCTCTCATGACAGCATGAAAATGTCTGGAGCAAACAAAACGCAAGGCAAAGTAGGCAGAAAACTGTCATACACTGCTGAGCAAGTTAATGCCAAGCTGCAGGTGCCTCTTGCACAACAAACAACGGTTCGTTCAATCTCTGAAAACACTGGTATGACGGAGTTTGCGACTTCATCGAAGGACTCATATAATAGAAATGAGTCGTGGTTCATTGCAAACTCGGTTTGTTCCTTGCCCACTCCAATGCGATACGTCCAGTGTAAACAGACGCTAACAAGTACTGTCGCCTCAAGTTTGCTATGACAATGGTAAAGACTGATATGCATCTGGACGAGAAATGGTATTATCTTACAAACACCACAAGTAAGTATACCTCGTTCCTGAGGTGCGCGAACCACAACCACCATGTAAAAGCAAAATGTACATTACAAGAGTTGTGTTCCTTAGCGCTGTTGCACGCTAAGGTACATCGACGAAACCAGCACAAGGTGGGACGTCAAGACAAGATAGGCGTTTGGCCGTTCGTCGAGTTGATGCCCACCAACACGTCAGAGTCAACCGCCCGCCCGGCTGGTACCTACGAAACCAAGTCAATGACGATTACTAGAAATGCGTATCGTACCTTCTTCTCTTCTCGAGAAAGTCCTACCCTCGATAGCGGCAAATGGCCAAACGCCTCAAGATGGTGGTGCTGCAACGCGACAATGCCCGGGCTCACGTCACCCCCATGGACGAGCCACTCAAGGCCGCCTTTGACGAATACGGCACCAAAGGTTGGACCTTTTCACTGGCTCTACAGCCGCCAAATTCCCCGGACACCAACATCTTGGACCTTGGCTTCTTTGCCGCGATCCAGTCCCTACAACAAAAGAAGTTAGCCAGGTCGATTGATGAGCTCGTTGCAAACGGCGGCCAAGCATTTGACGATTACGCCATGGAGAGTTTGGTCCGGACCTTCCTTTGGTGCAGGCCTGCCTTGTGGAGACCATGCGGCTCTTTGGTGACAATACCAACAAGTTGCCCCACAAGGGAAAAGAAGTACTCGCCCGCAAAGGAAACTTCCTCAAAACGTGCAGTGTCCACCGGATGCGTACGACACTTGCACTTGCAAGGAGAAGCTGGCCGCACAGCATGGAGCAGCCATGGAGCGAGCTGTGTCGGCGGAGGCCTCTTCGACCTCCGCCGAAAGTGCCTCGACGAGCTAGCCCGAGAGCTCGAATGTATTGCCCTAAGCGACAGGGAGGTGAGGACGATATCATCTCTGCAATCAATATGCATAGAGATGGACATTGATCAATAAGAACCTACAAGAGTGTGTGGTGTGGGTATTGCGTGAAGGTGTAAGGCTCGGTAGCAGGGTTCTCGAGGTTAACCCACCTCCTGAATCGAATGGCGAATGGCACTGTCTAAAATGGCTCATTTCGACTTTTGATTGGTTCTGAGACAAGCTGTATCGTTAACTCTTTTTAAAGCTTACACCAAGACATCAGTATAATGTCTTGAAGAGGCTGTATTTTTATTCGAGGAAGATTACGTCATTTTTCTCAGTCGCGCAATTTATATGGGACAGGAAGTACAGACAACGACAAAATTTATGGGACATCTCTTCTTCGAATTCGTCAAACTAACGAAGGATGATTGGCTGAAGCACTTCGAAATTCGGGAAAATTGCAGCCAACAACTTCCTTGCTTTTCTCAATTTCAATGACTCCAGTAATTTAAATGAATGGTTGTTCATGCGCTTCGATGTATCAATTTCAATCACTCCAGCAATTTAAATGAATGGTTGTTCATGCGCTTCGATGTACAAGCGCTTGGCAAGACAGCGAAATGGTTAAACGAGTGAGTTCATATAAGTGAGCCCCGGATTCTAGGCCTGAGCTCGTCAAGTTTTTTCCAGGAATTTATAAAAGTTCGGACAAATCATCGTTAGGCAGCTGGTACTTTTCGACAAGATTGACCGATTACCACGGATTTTTATGAGCTGCGCGAAGGTCGCTTCAGTGACGTTCTCGAAACCAAAGCAACGAGTGCACAACGCCCGACACCGCACCAGAATTCCTCCCCCTCTTGATCTCAGCAACTTTCACACCTGCCGACGAGGTATGCTGCCCCCAAAGAATTCCCGTTCCTGTTCTCATGCGTCCATACAGCGCCTCCGCGTGGCATACGAATGAATCGTACACGTTGCAGGTCGACTTGACCGCATCCCCGCACTTATCGATCACGGCAACGACTGAGTACGGCTACCTCGCGCATTGACGACGCTCAGATAGCTCATCGTGTACGAGCATACGATGCATTCAGACGGCGTTGATCTGCGATGCTCCGGCGTTTCCCCATCGAGGGATTACGCTGGACACGAACCGCAATTTCTACTCGATTGGCTCGATGAAGCTCATGCTGTACGGGTTGGGATGAACAAGTAGAAACTTTTCGCTGGTATTTCATCGACACCATCAGCCCCCCTATCGAAATCATCGGTTATACCCTGCGATTGTACCGGTGCATCTGCATTGTTTGAGAGCCAAAGTGTAGCCGAACCCTGACTAACGACGTAAGAAGCGTACAACGCCAGGCAGGTCTACACCCAAGCCGACATTCGCTAGCTCGTGCAGAATGTTACGCGTTTTCTAACATTGGGGAGCCCACTGAGGCGGACACAGCACAAATGCGCGGATGCCGAGTGATTCCACAGTCGATGCCCCAGCGCACGTCGGGGAAGGGTGGCAATGGGGACCAGAAGCCGGATTGGGCGACCTTGTCGTATACTTTGACCATATGCCTTGGCAAGCGGCGTGCGTGCAGCACCCGTGTAGCCAACTGAACCCCACGAACCCGGAGATTTACTCCATTCTAGACACGTAAGGACGTAGCTAACAGATATGCCACACGCCCTGGGGTAGAAACCCCGAAATGATCGGAGTCGCCACGTATGACGTAGGCCTTGAGAAATGCTATCACGTAGTACATGCCCGCGAATTTAGAATGTTTTCGCGCCATGTAGGAGTCTTAACCAATCGACACATCGCAGGTCTAAAAATTCATTTCGATTGGTTTGTTCATTGACAGCTGCAAATTTCTTCGGTTCACCCTTAAATTTTGTCGTATTCAGTACTATCATGCGTACCAGGTGGTTCAAGCCATCCCATTTTTCTGTTGTTGCTGGTGACATGTTTCCGCAGCCATTAGAAGGTGTCTCATAAAGAAATTGGAACTGCAATTGAAATACGTGGGTTTCCATTGAGTCACGAAATCAAAAACGCAAGGTATTCCAAAGACATGCAGGCTTGCACTGAAGGAGACTGATATACACGAAACAAGTACGCCACTGCCGATCAACAATGTTATTTC